GAGGAGAGGCTATGGGACCTGAAGCTGTTCAGCCTCCACAAGAGAAGGCGAGGGGGGATCTAGTGGCCTGTTACAAACTAGTCTGGGGGGACCAGCAGGCACTGGGGAAGTCCCTGTTCCCCCGAGCACTGCCAGGAGTGACCAGGAACAACGGTCACAAGCTGGCAGAGGGGAGATTCAGACTAGACATCAGGAGGCGCGACTTCATGGTCAGGGCGGCTAGGGTCTGGAACCAACTTCCAAGTGAAGTGGTGCTGGCTCCTACCCTGGGGGTCTTTAAGACAAGACTTGACAATCACCTTGCCGGGGTCATTTGACGCCAGTACTATTTCCTGCCATGGCAGGGGGTCGGACTTGATGATCTGTTCAGGTCCCTTCTGACCCTAGAAACTATGAAACTATGGAATGAGGTAAAAACTGTCTCTGCCAGGCAGTGAAACAGGAGCTATTACTGGAGCAACTGACAGGCAGCAGAACGGCAGAACAAAGGCTAGCTTGAGTAGCAGAACATGAAGAGCATGACAAGGGGGCCGAGGGTCCTTCACACCTCTGGAGTGAAAAGTTTAGAAGGAATCGGTTAGATTTTAATGAGCTACTCCTGATCCTGCTTATGCAGTGTAAAGCCCTCCCAGATGTTGGTGCCTGGGCCCCAGGCTTCATTCGGCGACCTCAGGGAAGACGCCACAGAAGTGTAGGATTTGCCCTGCCAGCTTACAGCCCTTCTTCCTCTGGCTTGGCATCCTGCCTCTGGCAGCAGCCAACATCTGGGTGTCAGGAAGATGTAGACAGGCAACCAAGCACTGGGTGTTGTAAGACTGAGTTGGTCCAGTGCTGTGGGCTGCTGCGAGGGGCACTTGGCAGTGCACCCCCCTCTCTAAGCCTGTAGCACCCCCGTTCTGCTTCTCTGCAAATCATCTCCCCTCCACGAGTTCCTCTGCACTCACTAGTCCAAAGCTGGCTGGAGACCGTGGATTTTAGATGAGACTGATGTCGTAGACAAAGGTGACCTCATGTACAGGGAAACCTGGTTAATAACCCGGGGATGACCTGTCATGGGATTGACACACTGCGCTTCCCAGCAGCGGCCGAGGGCAGCTTCCAGTACAGAAATAAAATAACTTATAGAGGCAAGTGGAAGATTGACATAAAATATAAAGCAGCTGCTCCCTGAAACAAATATCCCAACCCAGCTTCGCTTGCAAAATGCCTGCTCAAATATTCGCCTTGCCGCCCTTTCAGGAGATGATCGGGCTAAGTTATATCAGGAAGCAGCAAAACCAGAAGTACAAGGCCCATTCTACCTGCCTGGCAGGTCTCTTTCTTTCTCACACACACACACTTTCTAGCAAAAGAGAGCCAAGAAGTTTTACTCAATCCAATTCTCACACGCACACACACGCATGCACGCACTTGTTCACCCCCCTCTTTGTAGTAAAAGAGGGCCAAGAATTTGTACTCAGTCTGGTTCCCTGACATACATTAGGTGTTGACAGTAATACCCCAGAGTAACAATTACTGCACTTTCCACTGTCTATGCTGCCCCCAGCATACAGTGGTCACGCTTTTCAAGATGAGGATTCAGGATGAACCATGCAGGTGTGAGCTTGCAGCTCGGGCTGCTGTCTGGCTTCCTTGATGTGGGTCTTCTCCTACAGCTCGAGTGGAAACTCGTGCTTAAGAAAGAATCCCAATCCGTCCAGGCCAAAATGAAACTCGATGCCCAGGCTTCATTTGTTAAAGTGTAATAATTAGTCACTTCCCAATGTACACACAGACTAAATCACAAGGGAACTTGCTTCAGCTTTTCTTGGCTCAAGATACCAGCAATCAGCTCTTCCATTCTGCAGAACTACTCTCCACTTCGGTGGAAAGCAAAATCCTTGACTGATTGTTTAACTTTGCCATTGCCATGTGATGGGTATCTTGTGAGTACTCAGAATATCAGTAGAAAGGGTTTCTTAGGGAGATCCCTTTTATCGGACCAGCTATGAAGTTGGGATGAAGCTAGGCAAGCTTTCAAATGCATGGCATGCTTTGTCAGGTCGCACGGATGAAGAGTGTCTGGCATTCGAAAGCTTGCCTATCTTTACCTCAACCACATAGTTGGTCCAATAGAAGATATCACCGTAAGAAATCCTTGGCTCTTCCATAATTGCTGGACCATAGGCATCACTCTTACACATCTGTAGTCAGAAATTGCACCGAAAACATTTATCCGTGTGCTTGTACAATTCTCAGCGAGCCAGTGCGTGTGTGATTTGCACTGGGAATTTTTGGGTGATAGTTTTCTTTCATTATAAATGTCAAAAACTCCTTTGCGGCATCTCCATACAGCATGCAGCAGAGATCTCATTAAAATTTGAAATAGGATACTGATGATTAGTCACCATTGCCAATGCCGTGACTGATGAATTAACCAGATGGTACTGAATCCTTCTCGGGAATGGCTGGAGGGGTGCTATGGAAAGGCAAGGGGTCATACTTCCCTATTGCATTATTGTTGTGTCTTCTTTCAAAAGGGGACCCTACTTTACCGCCTTCAACACCCAGCCCTAAACCAGCAACATCAGCCCCTATCCCAGAGGAGACCAGTCCTACCAGCCAAGGTGAGGAATTGAGACTGAAATCCTGGGCGGGGGGATGTTTCCATTGGATACCATGGCCCAGATTTTCAGCTGATGTTAATCAGAGCAGCTCATCGAAGTCTATCATGCTTCATCTCTTTGCAACAGCGGAGGCCCACATGTCCCACACTGTTATGGCTGCAATTCACAGCCCCAACTACATCATCCCAGCCAAGGTTTTGTCTAGCCGGTCTTAAAAACCTCCAAGGATGGAGCTTCCACCACCTAGACGTAGACCAGGCTTTTCAAAGCTGCATATGTAAGGTTAGGCACCTGGGTCCCCTTTTTCAGAGGGGCTTGTTGAAAATCAGGCCACAGTTCCTGGTGCCAAATTATGGCCGGGCATTAAAATCATTGGTGCAAAACATGGCTATGAACTGAGCTCTGTTCTCTGCCGTTTCATTCTCGCCTGCCTGCCCTCTGCTTGTTCAGCGCAGCTGCTGGGTCTTAGACAGTAAATTGTTCAGGTGTACGTACAGCCTCCATAGGGCCTGATCCTGACTGCGAGGTGCTAGACCCTGCTACAGAACCATGTGAAAGACCGATTGAATCGTGTTTTTAAAATATAATTGAATATACTGTCCAATATTGCATAGCTATTACGCCTCTTGTTGCCCATCAGAGACTGATGGCCCATCACTCAGCCAGACTGAATTCTCTCCTGTGTTAAGCATCTTATTTGGTGGTTAGGAGGCTATCCAGGCCACCCAAAAGGGCTCTGTTAGCATTGTACTAATAGAAATGAATGATAGAAATAATTATAAAATTCAGAGCTTTTATACCATCTGAACACCTAGTCACTCCAGAGGTCACTGCAGACCCACGCCTGGCTTCAACATTGTCCTGTGGAAGGGAGACCACCTCACCGCTGGCAGGTCCCACGTCGCAACCCACCACTGACACGTCTTCTCTGGAAACACCTGTGACCACAGCCACGGCGATCGGGTCGACCCACGTGTCCACGAACCCAACCACAGAAGGCATAACACAGCCATCTACAACAGCCAGCCAAGACACGCACACCTCCTGGGGGGGGACTAACAAACCGTCCCCAGATACATTTACAACAGATGGAGACAAGTCAACAGCAGCATCCGTCAGCCTGACCACTGAAGACCAAACGCAGCTACCCACAGCAGCCGCTCCCAACACTGAAGGTTTGCCATTAACCAAATCCTAAGTAATGTCAATGCTGGGCAGAATTAATCTGCTAATTCTCTGTGCCAAGCACCTTGCTTAACCATTTCAGTGCTGCTGAGTCAGAGACTGTACACAGGGGCCCGTCTGTGTGACCTTGTCTCCACCCACTAGTCCAGGTTAACTGAAGTTTATTTCAGCTTGAATATTTTCTTCCAGCTTATCTTAATCCATTAACAGAATGGATTGCATTAAATGGTGTTAGTGTTAGGGAAGGGCTGTCCAACTCACATGATGCCTGAGCAGAGGGCACCTCTCAACTACACCTTTCCAGGAGCTCAGTGGCATCCCCTCCCCATGGCTGGCCAACATTATTGGGTGGTCTCCTGGCCCAGGGATGCTAGAAGGAAACCCTGCACCCTTGTCCTGGGCTCTGGGGAAAGGCATTGTTTGCCCCTAGTGCTCACATAAAGACTAGACCCAATCTGGCCTCAGCTTGTCCTTGACCTTAATACGGAGTCCGAGGGCAAAACAGGCCCTTAGTGACAGTAAATGGAACTAGGCTGGGTGCCTGGGAAATGCCACACACCCATACCAAGGCCTCAGGCAGCCCTTTGCCTTGTGACTCAGGCTGATAAGGGCAGCCATATAGCATCGTGTTGGGTTTTGCTTGTGTCAAATGCTGATCTGCAGCTTGCCGACCATGTAGGCAGGCTGTGTCACAGGCCAGCTGGGCACTGTGAGTATATCAGTGTAGTTGCAGACTGACTGAGCACTGCAGCTTGATTAGCCAGTGGGCTTTTTGGTTCGGGATCGAGGAGGTGACGTTGGAAAGGAAAGAAATGACAAGAAATGACAAAAGATATAGTTTGCATATATAATAGTCAATAAAAAGGTTACGCTAATAAGCAGACAATATAACAATACAGATTAAAGTTGACAGGGGTAATAAAACAGATAAAGAAATTAACCAAGAGTTCCCACTCGGTTAGTAACTTATCGGTAGTCCCTCAGTTAGAAGATGCACGGCAAGTCGAATCAGCAAAGTCAGAGGTCTCTGAACTGGGCTGCCCGAAGGATACTCGTGGAAGCCCCTCAGTCAGGATCTGGTCCTCGCTCTCACAGGGAAAGAGAGACCCGTGGGGTACGGGACAGCAATGACCCTCCTGCTCCGTCCTTCCTGAGGGTTACTATGATGCGTGTGTTCTTTCATAGTCTAATTACGCTCATTTTTAGTTATATAGCCATTCATAATATTACTTTATAGCTGTCATGCTATGGGGTTAAAAGGTGTTAGAAATCATTATAATAAGTTACTGCCCAAGCTTGGGTTTATCCAATAAGCAAATTGCAACACAGCATCTTCAGGTTTAAAATTAACATTACCCCGCCTAAATCCAGCCCCTTCAAAACTCTCTGGCTATGCTTTTTTGAGATGTCCTTTGTTGAAATGTACTGGATAAGCTGGGCAGTTGAATCCAGTTCTTATCATCATCAAGGCTAAATTCTGAGCGAGAAAGAACTATCAGGTCAGCTAATTTCACAGCGATAGCTTTGTCTTTGAGGCCTAGTCAGTTCCACAAACAGTTACAAGTTACATTTGCGGGTTACAAAAACACAAGCTTCATATTAGAGAAAAGTTCCAAATGCCTCCAAGAAGCACATATTTAT